TCAACTCTTTTGAGAATAATTTTGACGAAGTTTGGGTAGTGACGTTTTATAAAAAGAATGCGGTATTGCCGCGTTCTTAAAAGCTGTCTTGCTAATTTGAAATAATAATATTACTTAAGATTGGATGAAGTAACGGCACTGTGTTGCTGTAAATTAACAGTAATATTTCGTAAATTATTTTAACTATGCACTTTAAAATCGGAAGATCTTTACGATATTAAGTTAATTCATTTGACACCTCACATGATATTTATAAATAAAAAAAATTTTGTTCCTTTATATCACCAAACCAACGATAGTTCCGAATTTCAAATTGAAATAAGTATTAAAAAAAGTTTAGTCTTTTACAAAAAAATATCGAAACTGAAAACTACAGTTTCAGATTTTCATAAAACGAGGAGGAGGAGGAGGATACTTACTCCCATTTCCACAGATTATCAAATAAAGCGCATTTAGCCCAGTTAAAGCGTTGCTAAACTTTTAGGCCCACCACGGTTCCTTGTGAAACACCTAATAATTGTGAAGCTAGTACACTTCGGCTAAGCCACGACTGGGGCGTCGTGACAAGAAACATTGATGCAACGTGCCTCGAGTTTTGATGTTTTAATCTAAACGCTCCTTTATAAAGTTAGTGATGTTATTTAAATACAGGTTTAGGTAATCGATAAGATACCAAAACCTATGAAAGGGGCTTCCCTTTCATAAATTTAAAATACTGTTTAAATAAAGATCAGCAACCAATATTTATGTCTGAATTGCCTTCGTAAATAATAAGGATTAATTTTTTCATCTTCGTCATAATTTTGTAACACCTTGTATTACATGGAAATACTTAGGTACGTTTCTTATCTATGGCTCTTAGCAGGTTAGTAGTATTAATATCAATCAATCATGGTATAAAGTTGCTCTTAAAATTAAAACGCAAATAAATTTACTCCATTTTAATGCATTATTAATTTTGTTAAAATGTTTTTCATTAATATTTCTAAGCTCGTCGTACCATGAGCTTTTTCCTTAATCGTTAATTTTAAGATTATTTCTGGGATATCAAAAACAAGTTGTCAAGACGCCTACTTATAACAGTAATGATATAGCTTAGAACACTGTGTGTTGTTTTGTCCACATCATTTGCATATTGCGCAATATCGCTTGACCTTCACTCCTAAAAGTCCAATAATGTCTAATATATCACAAATTATGTGGTCGTTTATAATGTGATTGTTATCTGAGTAGGTATACATTTTTAAGGAATTAACTTACATAATAAATCTTCACGTGACCATATTTTTATCAAGGAAAAAATCTGAAATTAAAATTGTCATTATCATAAAAAATGTTATGCAACCAACGTGATGCTAATAATGTTTAAAAATAAAAATACGTACATTACAAGTCTCAGTCAGTGATAGGTACTTATTTACATATTAACCGATTATAATTCTAATTTTAACATAATCTGTAACAGTGAGCATAATCTGCAATAGTGAGAATAATGCTGAAACAAAATTAAAACGAGCAAAACAATGCTCAACTGGGTTTATTGCTTCCAAGCGCGATTAATACGAAAGAGAAATCGTAATTCTACACACTCGTTGCAAAAATACTACAATTTTTTCGACAGCTTATTATCACTGCCGCAATCAACATTCTTGCCGTTACAACATACCTACAAGACCGTCTAGCACGACGATTTTAAATTCAATTACTTGGCTATAAAAAATAATAAAACCTTCCGCGATATTATCTCAACGAGCAAAACTTTATCGATAGTATTTCACGCGGCACTGGGGCCGTGCCGGCGCGACAGGTGCAGTGGCGGTGGTCTATCGATAAATTGTATTTTGATAACGTACAGCACTATGCTGCGGTAGAAGTGGCCTTATATCCGAGTCCTAAAGTAAACGTTAGCGTAAACATGTAATAAATCGCCGGGCTGTAGGGATTTATATTATGAAGTTAATCAGAATTTTGTGGGAGCACTAAAACTAGAGCGTTTCGGCTGATTGCCTTATCCTACTTATGCTAGGTACTGAGATAAAATTTCATGTGAGCATTTAGCTTCAAATGATGCCAAAACTTACGCAATTTATTCGGCTTATGGACCTGTTTTATTACGAGCTTTACAGCATCATTTATTTTAAGAAATGGAGTTTTTAATCTTGATTCCTGAGAAAACGACGTAATTAAATAACCAAATTTTTAGTCCACACTGCGCTTAGAACTCTATGCCCTCCAGCAATCTCAATTTGATTGGGAGCAGCTCAACCAAAGTCTGCCAATCACAGCTGTTGATCCAAGGAATGAAAAAATTTCGAAGAAGCAACAATAACTTCTAAAAAAACAAAAAAAGCTTAAGTCACGTTATTATTTCTTTTTTTACTTTATGCCAGTTCTATCCCGGTCCTAACTCTGTTATACCTGGCTGGACATATCGCTAGGCCAGTCCAATATTTGGGCAGCGCAATATCGCCGATATTGCACCCAGAGATTACGTTTGGAGAGCGGATGAGAGATACCGAAATAGATTCGTGAGCTCCAAGCACGATCCTGATTGTGATCTATGTGAAATGAGGGTATTTTTTTGCAATTATTTACTTGTTGAGACATGGTTTTAAAATGCAGGTTTAGGGCAATTTTGTAGTTTCCTGCAAATTATTGTTTTCCTCATTATGTTTCTAAATAATGAAGGAACGACAGAAAATGTAATTTCCGTTCTTGCAGAGGAATATTAATTTTATTTTGTTCATTTGGTGCAATCAAATCAAATAAATAAACGAATGAACAAAAACAAAATAAATTTACCAGTAAAAGTCTTCAGTATAAGGTGACATTGGTAATTTAAGTCGTATTAGCTATTTACTAAGAATTCAGACTATGAAAAAAAAGATGATCATGTTTTATATTCAGACTACTAAGAAAATAATGATCATGTTTTCAACTATGCTATCCTAAATTGTTTGTAGATATAAATTGTTCACGCTCATTGTGCATGATGCAAAATAAACCCAGACTTATAAAAGCAAAACAGAAATTGCAAAAGAAACTGATTTTTTAATGAAATGAAATGTCACTAATATGTAAAAATAAAGTATACTATTTATTACGTCTTTGTCCCATCTAATAATACAATACCTAGACGAAACATAATAATATTTTTCAAATAAAAAATAACAACTTTATTACACTTTAGTACAAATAAAGACAAATAAGCGAGCGCAAGCTAAGCTTTTTACCTATGTGGGTAGGTGTAATAAAATAATAATGTGCTAGCAAAATGGAGTTTTGTTGCAAATAAAAATGCACGAAATCAAAATCTATGAGTTGGTTGTCGAAAACAAAGTTATAATGTTTGTACGCGTAAAATATTCAAACTAACTTTTTCGGAAAATGTATTCGCTGTTTCAGTGTTTATTTTGAATATTAAAATGCGTTTGCTTTTTCTATTTGAATGAATAACATAAAAGTTATAAATATAAACTCGTATGGTGGAAGTGATTTATTTAATTGGAATCGCCAGCTGTCGTTATTATTGTTTTGACTAATTAACGGTAGTTTAATGAGCTACTTATGAGTCCTCAAATGATCAATAAAAGTTAATATTATTGACAAATAAACACGCATCTAACTAAATTAGGCATAAACAGTAATAGCATAATATCATATTTCTAAAGAAATAGAGAAAAATTAACAGGAAAATCCAAATGTTGAATATTTCCTACTTCAAGCTGCTAATTTCAAATGCCAGCTGTATAAAAATTAATATAAAGATAAAGTTTGTGATATTTTTCTTTATAAAAAATGCAAAAAACTTTCAATGGGTAAAATGGTGGCTCCATTAAAAAAGCCTTCAGGCGAAAAGTAGTTTCATAAAGGTAACTTTTCCTTTAAAATATCTCGGTATTAGTATTTGCCTGCACTGTGAAATATTTTTGTATTTCCTGCTGAAAACGCGAGCTTGAAAAAAGGACTTCTATCTATACTAGTATAAAACTCAAAGGTGACTGACTGACTGACATAATGATCTATCAACGCACAGCCCAAACCACTGGACGGATCGGGTTGAAATTTGGCATGCAGGTAGATATTATATCGTAGGCATCCGCTAAGAAAAGATTTTACGAAACTCCACCCCAAGGGGGTAAAACGGGATCCACGCGTACGAAGTCGCGGGCGGCCGCTAGTTTAGTATAAAATCTAAAGTCCTAATAAGAAAAATAATAAAACATAGGTCCTCTATAATAAAAACATACCTTATTCCTAGGTGTTGATAGACTTTAGATTACATAAACTACGTTTTACTTCACATTGAGAAACTGTAAAATTATGCCAGAATTTGTTGGATTACTGTTTCTTTACAATAGTAACATTATTTATAATCGCCTATTGTTATGACCGCTGAAGAACTAAAAGTTCGTTGTTTAATGCCGAGTTTTATAGTGGGATCCATTTTGTAATACTTTATTTATGGTGCATTATTTGAAATCTAATTACCGCTTTATGATTTAAAAGGTTAATATCGTTGAATAGTCGCTTACATTGTAATAGTATGTTGTTTTTATCACTACAAGCATTGCAAAGGTCATATTTACCTATAGCTGAACTTCGGCGTATTGCTTATTTTTAGTGAAAGCCTGTTTTTAGTGATTTGTTAACTCTCAAAGAAATCAGAATTTTTGATTCAATATTAGTTACTGCCTACTGAAATGTGATTTAATTTCCTTGTTAGATTAAATGATCTAGAGAAAAGGTACCAACTGGCACCTTGCGCCACTTCTATCGATGTGTTTTAAATTCACAAATGTTAAAATGGCTAACTGCTTACTTTAAAATTGTCATCTTCTTTGAATGAATAACGCATCTATAATACTATTGAAGACCCTAAAATTCTATTTTTCAAAGAATTCAGTCTAACCTCGCGATGACCAAGTACCTAGTCATCATAATAGAAGCACAGAAGTCCCGATTCCCAAAGGAACCAAGAAAGAAATCAAAGAGCTTACCTTTCAACAGCAGCACGTAGTTCTTCTTATCGTCTCCGCCCTTAGGGTACTCCCAATCGATGTCCAGACCGTCGAAATTCCTGTCCCTCAGGTAGGGGATGGCAGAGTAGATGAAGGTCTGACGTGCATAGCGGGTCGCTGACATCTCCTTGAACTTCTGGGTGCCGAATGACCAGCCACCTGGAAGGAAAAATACCTTAGTTAAAACTTTGCTTATAGCAAGTTTATTTTTATATTTTGTTCGTCTAGACTCACGTGTCACATGAGTATCACTTGGGATTGTTTCCCGTCAAAAGGTACAGCGGTTGGAAGAAACTTCGAGAATAATGATGATATTGTCACCTTTTTATTAATATGCATCTTTATGCAAATGCACGTAAGTCAGCCGTTATAATAGTGCTGTTATTTAAAGTCTTAAATTGCTTCTAGAAATTTATCTGAATTGCAATGGCCAAACTAATTCTTATGAATATTGCGTAAACATTTAACATCGATGAGTAAATTCAAATAATGTTTAATCAAGGCATCAGGGTCACTAACCATTTAAACTGTTAACTCTGTTATTAGTGCCAGTTAACATAACAAAGTAAATTAAGCAAGTTAATTTCGTGTTAAAAGTTGGCAAAAATGTGCATAAAATTCGCAACAGCGCGGCGGGGTATAAGGTCGCAATTTTCGCCGGGAGAAAGCGGAGTCAGGTTGGCCGAGTGGTCTAAGGCGCCAGATTTAAGCTCTGGTTCCCGAGAGGGAGCGTGGGTTCGAACCCCACACCTGACAAATTGGTATTTTTTTTATTTATTTTTTTTCTAACTGGAGACAAAAGACACAAAAACGCATCAAGCCAAAACTGCCTACCCATTGTCATAATAACATTAAGTAAATTGGATTTTTTTCAATGTTATCATGCGACTGGTATGTGATAAAGATACGAACTAATGTTGCCAACGCAACGTTTAACTATGCTAATTTATTAATGGATATTGTACCAACCTACTTAGTCTATTAAACGTTTAAAAATGCCACTTCATCTAAAATAGGTACTGAATCTTTTATCAAGTCGAAATTAACATTAATTTGACAGAAAGTAATATAAAATTGATTAGCAAAAATAGTCTTAATAATAAAAGACTAAGATTCAACTTCGAATAAAGAAGGTAGGACGAAAAAACTTCCTCGGTCCATATTTTTGCAATTAACCTTCCATAATAACCGGCACTAATAGTCTTAACTCGACTAACTTAACCCTACAACGATCGGGCTTACTGAGCTACCGTTTAATAAATCCGGGTTCCGAAAACAGTGGAATTTATTAGGAACCATTAGCTCAATCTGGGGCAGATTAGCTAAATTTCAATTTAGTAATGGAGGAGTTATCTGTACAGAGTAATAAATATTCACTGATCACTTTCGAATCGTCGGCCAAGGCTGGTTGCTCACTGGTGCGATGCAACCTATGAGTGGAATATTATGACCGTTGGTATTGTTAGCAGTAAAATCAAAAAGGAATTTTATAACACGAAAATTTAAAAAAAACTGTTTTAAATTGATTTCATTTATCTCCATAATTGTTAATTCAGAAGCATAAACCAAAGGTAAACTGGATGAGAATGCCTTATGGCATTAAGTTCGCCTAATGTTAATATTTTTGGCATTGAAGTATAAATAAATAAATAAATAAATAATTTATATCGCTTACATAGCTAGTAAAGTTTTTTAACAAAAAGTTGCAAGTTTTCTTATTTTAGAACTAAATGGCTTTATGTGAAAGAATATTATGAAAAATACATAACGCATGAAGGATGTGAGACTTGATTGAAATCACAAGAATTGCGATCACAAGAAAAGAAGAGAAATTATATGATCTTCAAGCAGTTGAATAAAAATATCAATAAGTATAAGTACGAGTAGTAGTGGGCATCCAGGCTCTTCCCACGACCTTTACCAGATCCGAACGAACGAACGAACGAACTTCATAGGCAGGCAGGTGTGGTAAAATATTGTATATTCATTAGGTTTATAAATCTAAGCTTTTACTTAATCTAAGATTTTCTGAGCGGCAAATAATAATGTGGGCTATCGTAAAATGTGTATTAAGCCTTATTTCTCGATTAGTACGTAAATAATGTAAGAGTTATATCAGAATCTAATTCGGGTATACATAATTCAGAGCCTTCATTTTGCTGATTGGTGCTTAATTATTTATCTGTCGGATAAAATTTGGGTATTAACGTGCGAATTTGAGATGAATATTATATTTTGAAGATAAAATATTCTATTGCCTTCCCTTTCTGATGACTGGATCATGTATAATGATTTTTGTCGTTATTAAAAGATCTATGCAACTAAAGACATTAGTAAAATGGTTATTTTATGTTACATTAGCACATTAAGATCTAGATTTAACCTTAAGATCTCTTTTAATCCCCACGAAATAAGAGTGATTTTAGAAGTTCAGCTGTTACGCTTCATGTACTCATAAGAAACATCTGCAAGACTTATAAAAAACTAAAACAATGTGATCCCATTTAGGTACTGATCAAATTTTCTATTCTTTCTCACTGAGCAAACTAATAACGTTGAGCTAACTCCATTATTGTCGAACTATGTAACCCATATTAGTCAAAAGTTAATGGCTATAACAAAGGCTCGAGCAACTCAGTTTCCGTACCAAAATAATGGTGTGAAATCAAAAAAACATCGATACATTTCACATAAGCGTTGCGACATACAGTGCACTTGTGAAAAGCGCTCGGTTTTTGCCAGAGCTCCCTGAAAATAGGTGAAAACGGCTTTGTTGTGTGGGAACGCAGCCACGGTCGGTTCGCACGTGCTAGTGAAGAGGTACATCGATATGTTATGTAAACTTTACGGTTCCGTTAAGGGTTATGTACAGGATTGGGTTGTGGAGTGACTCGCGTTTTTGTTCTTGTCTGAGTGTTGGAGTTTTTGTATGAATAAGTTATGTAATAATAATAAAGATAATAAGATAACTTTGTGTCCCAGTTATTTTAGCTCGTTAATTAAGTACTTCATTACTGTTGGATATAAAAAAAATATTGATTGATTGCTAATTACCTTGATGAAGAAGGATCATGCCAAATCATGTAAAAGTATGCTACCTACTTAATCAATATTATGTTATTTCATATTAAGTAATAATAACAGACATTTCTAAATAAAGAAACGTGTTTTATGAAATGTGTAGGAAATGTATAAAGTAAGGTCATATCAATGCAAATAATACTTGTTGTTACGTCAGAAGTTGTCTCATGTCTATGACAAAGTTATTATTATTACTAACTATTAAATAATTGTTTGTATTAAAACAAGTTTTGCATAAGGTTTGAATAAATTTATAGCTAAACCAGATATATGTATGCAAATCAAGTAGTTATCATGACTGTCATTCGAGAAATGTATTTTTTATGGACAATAAGGGACTTGATTCTCTCTGTAGATAATCATTATTTTATACACATGCCATTAAATAATCCTTAATTGCTATAATAAACTGCATATCTTCAAAATACTACCGTAATTTTAAAAATGTTTAAACAAATATTTAAACAATCAACATTAACATTTAAAACAGATAAAATCAAATGTTTTAACATTTTTTGGATACTTCCTCTAATAAAAATATTTATGTCCATGTGTTAGGTTTGAAAAAAGTTATAATAGTTTCAGAAAAATCTAGAACTCTAATCTAGCATTTAGATGCCTAATAAATAAATAATAATCATTCCTTTTAGCCTCAAAAATATTTTAAAATACAAAATAACATTCTTTAACAACTTAATTACACATGAATGTATTTTATTAATGAGGTATTGTTTATAATTACGTGACCTAATAAGGTATTATTATAAAATAGATACTACTTAGCGTTTCTAATACTTTTAAAGTTAAAAATTATTACGTTAAACGTTTGCAACATTGATATTTAAGGTGTTTATTGATTATCAAATAACAAGGGAACCGGACGGAGGAAATAGCTAGTATAGAGTTCGCAATTACTGAATTACTGGATTGTTAGACGGTGAACTGAAGTGGATATAGAAGCACGCGATATTGCCACGATATTGCATGGCCAATATTGTGTACATTTGAGTATATTGGACCACAGATATTGACCACACACGATGAAGGTCAAAATGATTTTTGGACATTCATAACACTGGTCAACAGTGGTTTTGGTGCCAAGGAACTGTATATATTTTTTGATTAAGGACCTTATACTGGTTGCTTTAGTAGCAAATTTGTTGATTTCCTACGTGTGGTTTTCTAGATTTTGACGTGTATAGAAAAATACAAAATTTCACCAAAATCAGCGTTTTTAATATTTTGAAGTGCTTAAAAACTTTCTTTTCCACGACTTTTGTGAATGAGGTGTAATGGAACTATCACGTTACATCCTCCAGCAGTAATCAGCCATCATATAGCTATCCCATCTGCCTTGGTACCTCTCTTCCAATGGTTTTTAGGTCTTGATAGCCACGCTCTCCCTGTTCTTAGCTATAGCATGCTATAGTGACCCAAGATTCTCTGGGAATCGGTCAAGATGACTGTGGAGGTAGTGCCCTTTGATGAAAATTATTACATCCTGAGTTTTTAGGGCATGTCTCACAATTTCATAGTAGTTACTAGTCCTGTGATTTCCGAAAAAACTTTTAGTAACTTCAACGAAATAAGTCCACGTAAATCGTTCCAAACGTCCATCAAACTTAAGAAATCAGTATCTTTTATTAATATTCTTATTTGTGGGCCATAAAAAATTTACTGCTTTAACCTTTTTTTATGCTGAAACCAGGATTTTTTTTGTTTTTTCCTCACTTTTTCCACTCTGAACTTCATGTTATGGCTTCTTTGACCATTGAAACATTGCCTCAGTGTTCACAGCAGATTATACAAACAATTTCGGGTATCCACGGCTTGAATACAACCACAATTTCAGACTTAAAGTAAGAAAAATAAGCACTTTTTATTAAAATTTTGTCTAAATTTTTGAAATTCTTAACTGTGTGCACATCACAAATGTAACAAATTATATTTGGATCGTTGAGGCAACTTCTTGGCAATGCAGACATGATATTAAAATAAATTTCGTTATAAAAATATACCGATAACATTACAAACTGTGCAACCAAAGTACCGATTAAAGCTAAATTTTAAAACTGAGGGTAGATCCAAAACTACACGTAGGAAAAAAAAAAGAAAAATATTTTTATTATTACTAATACACACCTAATACTAAACTATCAACAGAATCTCGGCACCATTTTCATTTTGATTTTTTGTTGACCAGTGTAATTCGTTCGTTCGTTTCAGCCAAATGACGTCCACTGCTGGACAAAGGCTTGCCCCAAGGATTTCCATAACAACCGATCCTGCGCTGCCCGCATCCAGGTTCTTCCAGCGACCTTCACCAGATCGTCGGTTCACCTAGTGGTGGGCCTGCTCACGATACGTCTTCCGGCCCGTGGTCGCCACTCATACATATTTTCACATAACCATAAAATAATGACGTATACCTTGTATTTTAGCGACTAAGATAGGAGATGTAGGTACATAATATTTATATGAATAGTTACATAATGCGTGTTTACTAGTACACTGTAGATGTAAAGTTTACGAGGATAGATGAATAATACTCGTAGTAGGTAGGTATTATTCGTTCATGCAAAAACTTCTGGACGAATTTTTGTGTTACATCATTATGATCTATTAATAACTAGTTAAGCTAGTTTTTTTTTAGAAATTTACATAAGTATTACATAATGATAATAATATAATAAGTTTTATGTTTCTGTAAATGGACTTTTAGAGAGAAGAGAGAAGAACTTTATATTGATTTGTTTTTGAATTGAGCCGTTTCACAGTACTTCTTATGCTGCTGTTTTGTATGGTTTGCAATAAAGTATCTATCTATCTATCCATCTCAAGAACGTACGATCATAATTACGAGTATACTTCTTTTAGATAAAGTTTACGATTGGATAAAATTTATTGCCACCACTTAAGAACTAGGACATGGATAGCCTTACTTATCCATGGCTTCAGTAACAGTTAGGTTGTCATTCCAGAGTTTCCAGACAGGAAACAGAGCCGCCATTTGGTCATTAGAACTCCATATTTCAGTCTAGAAACTTTGGAACCGTTCATTATGGAATTCCAGCGCGAAGTTAGAACCTAGACTTCAAGCGTAAATTGAATCGGTACGCCATCTGTTGGACGAATGTTTAAAACTGGGATTGAACTACCCAGGTGTGTATTGTAATTTAAATTGCAGTTATTTTTTAAATAGGTTGGCTCTCTATAAATATCTTACCCGAAGAGTGCAGATGCAATCTATGATGAAACGAGCCTGCCCAAAAGATACCTAAGTACCTATGTTATATTTACTTGTAACTTGCGTACATGTTTATCTTCAGTAGGTATTACAAATCATAAATTGCATTGAATGACCTTTCGTGATTGTAATTTAGTGAGGTCGATGTACTTGTAAGCCAAAATGAGCCAATAAATTTTGAGTTACTGTAAAATATTTCTAGTATAATAATAGGAAGAGAGATGAATAAGTTTAACCCTAAGTTTCGAAACTTTAAAAATCTTTAAAAGTCGTCTTATTTCCAAACTGCTGAATGAATGTTTCTTCCAATAACATACTTTTTTCCAACCGCTAACATATCATATTACTTATCTCTCGTTTTTGTCAAAGGACAAAGTCCTCCCCCAACGATTTCTACAAAAACAAAATATCTCGCATTATCCAGGGGGAAGCACCTTTTTTTCACTAGACCATTACTGATTAATTTCGTAGCGGGTCCAATGACAGTTTAATTTCACCCGGGACAAACTTGACCTTCACTGGTTGGATTTTTATTGGCGGTCAAGCTGTAAATCTTGGCTATACAGGAGTTGTAGCGGTGGGAACGAGAGGTGGGAATAATCCTGTTAGACCATTATTGCAAATAATAAGATTTAATTACTTACCAATAGCCAACAAAGTTTTCAGTTTAGGGTTGGCCTTCTTCAACGCGTTGATTCTGTCGTACAACCCGGTCTTGCCATCCTTGGTCTCATCGTTGGACTCGAAGGAGCTGAGCTTGCCCTTCTTCAGCCAGCCGAAGGCGAAGATGATGTGGGTGCAGAGTTCGGGCTGGATGTCCTCGGGCATGAACTTGCCGATCTTGGTTCGGTATTGCGACCAGTTGGTGTAGTAGCAGACGATCTGGAAGATGGAAGACTTTTAATAACCTGTTCTGGAGGAAGGAAAGGAAGTAGATAATAATAACAAAGGAATTAAAAGTGATTTAGAGACTTGTGAGTTGTGACTGCAAAATGGCAATGCCAGATTTTGTATGGAAAGTGGCGTCTTTTTTTTTTTGCGCGGCCATCGACCAAACTTTGTTTTTTGATTACAAAATAGTATAATAAACCAAACTTACTATGGCATGTATGTATACCTCTAAACTCAGTCTGAACTGAGTTACGAGCATTAGAAGTTTGATGATTTTCATACTAGATTTGCTTTTTGTGCGCAAGTTTTGTAAGAAATTGCAACAAAATATTGCGCTATTTTTTATTGCGCTGATTCTGCTCCATATTGATGTCTGGAGCCTTTAATGGATGATATTGTTTGTTTACACATACAATCTCACTATTTTGTTGCAATTTCTTACAAAACTTTGCGCGCAAAAAGCAAATCTAGTATAAAAATCATCAAACTTCTAATGCTCGTAACTCAGTTCAGACTGAGTTTAGAGGTATATATGTCATAGTAAGTTTGGTTTATTACACTATTTTGTAATCAAAAAACAAAGTTTGGTCGATGGCCGCGCGAAAAAAAAAAGACGCCAATTTCCGGCATTGTCTTTTACTATGGCGCTAACATCATGTACGTTCTGTATCTTTTTAATTTCACATTCGGTAGCAGACTGTATCCTTTCGCAGACTGCGAGCAAATTCCTTTTGAGCTCAGAACTTTTTCAGAAACTAAGTTCAAAAAAATTAGGTACTTAAACGACTTTCTCAAAAGTGCTAAAGACAAAAAAAATGTTTACCTTTCGTTTTGGTACTGTTAATCATAAATTTATTGCAAAATTGCACTGACAATTACTATATGAGATGCCACGTTTTAGGTACTTAACTTGGTGAGCACTTAGTTGTAAATTAGCTACAAAACAGAAGATATCAATCAAATTCAAGATTAAACTTTAACGTTCATTTAACTACATTGTTTACAGGCACTTTTCAGCCTGTCATATAAATATTAAGATACAATACCAAAGTTAAGTCTCTGATGACTCAACGACGTAAGTAGGCTTAAAAGTAGCTTTTAAAAGCCCTTCAAAATACCACAAAGCTACGTGTTTGAGATTCAGTGACAGCACTTTCAAGTTCTTGGAATAACCGCGAAGTAATAATTCTCTTTGCTTTATCTCAAAAGCTGTAAATAGGAAAATACTTTAATAAATTCGTACGGGTAAGTGCTTTTTTAGAGTTAAAACAGCAATAGTAATGTTGCCTCTGTCTACCATTTATAATTTTCAGTTTATCTTTATTTTCATTCTAATCTTTGGTAATTGCTTTCAGTTATACAAAAATGGGGAAAGGACCAAAACTGGACAAAAACTATACCATTGACATTTCTACATGTCAATCTTCCAAAAAACAATACGGAACTGTCCAAAAAACTGTAGTCGTTTTGAGTAGGTAAATATTAATTGGTTGCAAAGTGAAGTACCTACCTAATCTTCAGGATACTGAAGCAGTGCAATCTACGAGCCGATTTGTGAAATACACAAATACGCAAATTTGCCGGATTTCACTGACGTGCCATAGCCTTTAAAGGTTGAGGAAACAGGACTTTTAATATCTTTCAACGAACGTATAAAGCCTGTGGTCTTTCTAGGCAGCGAAGGCCAACGAGTTTCTCGTTCAAAAAGCTCAGCATATCCGCGTTGTTAATAAAGTTGGACCAAGTTTGTCTGTGTCACTAGGCTATTAATTATTCTTTTAACTTGCGGTTAGAACAATTAACAGCCTGATGTAAATTGATGAGGGTGTGGTATTGTTGGTAGGTTTTGGACTTCTGTTATAGTGTGTAATGTTTTTATTTAAATCGAAAAAGAACTTCGTGATGAATTGACATGTGGCAAAGTTAATAAGGAAAGAGCATCGGGGGTTTACGTTGCGTTAAAGTTAATATTTATTCATTGATGTCTGTTTAAATAAACGTAAGGACTAAGCTTTAAAAACCAGATGGCGCGGCAATATCATAGAATTAATTGGAAATTTTAGCATCATTAATCACAAAGGATGGCCTTTACCTTACTTATTTTAAATTTTTAGCTTACATAGATGCACCGTATTCCTACAATGCCCTATCATATTATTTCTGTCCCCTGAGTACACGAGGTGTCAGTATTGGTATCAAACACTAAGGCTGAGTTGCACCAACTAACTTTAACCGTGACTTTATCGATAACCGGTGTATTTTGTATGGAGTTTGACTTTTTGAGGTTTGTCAAAGTCAAAGTAAGATGGTGCAACCCAGCCTGAGGCTTGGTAGTAGTCTGCAGGGAGTGTTAGCTTTGTGACTTTTCTGTCCTTAAACTTACTTGCAGTGTCTGATCATCAACTCACCTTATACCCATCTTTCTCCTTATGATCATCAGTGCCGACATAATTGTCCAAGGCAGCGGAATACTTCCCGCTGGCCACGCTCGGTCGGTCCCTGATCTTGGGTCAGTTCACGCTGGCCGATATGACCTGGTCGGTCGATCTGGACACCGAGGATGTGACATCAACTCACCTTGTACCCATCTTTGTCCTTATGGTCGTCAGTGCCGACAGAGTTGTCCAACGCAGCGGAAGACTTTCTGCTGGCCACGCTCGGTCGGCCCCTGATCTTGGGTCGGTTCACGCTGGCCGATATGACCTGGTCGGTCGACCTGGACACCGACGATGTGACATCAACTCACCTTGTACCCATCTTTGTCCTTATGGTCATCAGTGCCGACAGAGTTGTCTAACGCAGCGGAAGACTTCCTGCTGGCCACGCTCGGTCGGCCCCTGATCTTGGGTCGGTTCACGCTGGCCGATATGACCTGGTCGGTCGACCTGGACACCGAGGATGTGACATCTTTAACTCACCTTGTACCCATCTTTGTCCTTATGGTCGTCAGTGCCGACAGAGTTGTCTAACGCAGCGGAAGACTTCCTGCTGGCCACGCTCGGTCGGCCCCTGATCTTGGGTCGGTTCACGCTGGCCGATATGACCTGGTCGGTCGACCTGGACACCGAAGATGTGACGGAGACGGACTTGGACGGCTTGCGGAGTCTTCTTCGAACAGCTAGAAGGGAATTGATTGAGTTAGTTTAGTATCATTAGAAAAATATTTTGTTGTAAGTTCAATAAGTCCTTTTTGAGTTGATGCCCATCTACCAACTGATTTCGTAATAGGTACGTTTAGCTCCTAATTTTCATTCTAATTTAAGGTGTAAGCAGCTAAAAGTTAGTAGACACTGACTGTTTATTTCTTGCAAAATAAAGTTATTAGACTAGTTCATACGAAGAGATGATTCAATTTATATTTGTTTTATGTTTACACGTCAAATAAATACCTATACAAAATTCCATCGATAACATAAATAAGCCGTAACTGGAACGTGGAATTCCATAATTTAATAATCGAAATAAAAAACTTTTCCACGTATTCGGGGTAAATAAAAAACGTAATAACAATCCATACCAGGTTATTTCATTCCCGTAATAAAAAGATCTCGTTCCCTGAGCGCTCAATCACAATGAAATTTCACGAACCAATCGAACTGTACCAAGAAAGGTTTCCTAGAAGCCCTGTTTGCGATCTACCCTACATATTTACTGGGGAAAACATAACCACTATTTTCCAATCTGTTCCGAGTAATAAAATCCTTGCACACTCTGAATTTCTAAGGCTCATGAGGGACACATACCAACTAATAGCTAAACAACAATCACACTCGAAAATAAACCTTATGTTAAGGGACAAAGAACAAGAATACAAGGACGAAACGAAACAATTTTTTGAAATAATGTAAGGGAAATAATTCTTTTAATGGATACAGTCTCACTGTGCTTGAGTATTTCCATTTTTCTTGCGCGTAAACAACATTCTATTACGTCTCAAAAATACAAGATTTCTCAATTTAGTGATTATGAATAAGTAATTTCAAATCAGCGTTAAGCTTTTTTCAGTCTAAAAAGCTTATAAAATACCATTTTTTTTATGCATAACAAGGCACAATATTTCACAAGAAATAAGATTTGAATTTTAAGACTTTAGTAAAATACTAAGTAATTAAAACTCGTTATTTTTAAAGAGCGTTGTTTGACATTTCATTACGCATTGTTCAGAAGAAAATTGATTAAGTACGTATACCATGTACGTGTATAAATATTGTGTTATTCTACATAATATACAACATGCCTAAATAACAATACAAAAAAGAACTGACGGATTACATGATTAATGATTGACACTGAAATCGAACCTGGCCTTTTGTATGTTTTTGCTAACTCAAGAACATTCAGGTTACCTATTGTAATTACACAAAAACCGACAATAAAAACCAATTACGGTCCTAACGCTACAGTGTCACATTTACAGGGGATTACTGTACCTCAAATAATTTTTGAAATATTAACAGTAACTTACAATAAAAGACAATGACCTTTTGATCCAACGTGTACAATTTTATGAGGTGCAGCAATCTACTGTGGAACTTCTAGCATTGTTACTTGAAATTGAATCTAAATATCATCAAATATCGGTTAAAAATGGAGAAAATACGAATAATATTTATACTACTTCTGTCACGTGGATTGTGACAAATGAGGTTTAATTTAGTCTAAGTAATGGGTTATATTTTGATCATTACGTAAGAAAATAATTCATACCGGAAAGAGCAGCGTAGGACGTCCACCCACAAGGTGGACCGACGACCTCATAAAGGTAGCGGGAAGGCGCTGGATGCATGCCGCTACCAACCGGCCATTGAGGAAATCATTGGGGGAGACCTATGTTCAGCAGTGGACGTCCTATGGCTGAAAGGATGATGAGGAAGAAAATAATTCACAAAATACTTACTGGTCGAATCTGAGGTGGGTGCGATGACGGCGACTATAAGAATAATAGTGAATATACAACTCAGCAACCGTGGCGGCCACTGTAACAAAGAAAACAAATAAATTAGTCGACAATGTTAATGAAACCACATAATTTCCTCTCTTAATAACTTCTATTAGGCTTGTATCTTTCATTTTAGGCAAGTTGGCCAATAACTATGTATTGGCTAATTACTATAGCGATCACCCTACATTCAATGAAATGAAAATGAATTTAAAGTCGTCAGCGCACAAAATTTTCAATGAAAACAAAACACAATCGATAAATTTTTAACGCTATAGAAAAGTGGCCAGTGTAATAACATCAAAAAGTTTTTAGTTCATAACTCGAACAGGTAGAGCAGAAAAAAATTGTTTTCTTTTTATACTTATTTTAATAATGGCCAGTGCACCTACCATGAGTTTACGTTAGGTGTGCTCGCTAGCGAGTACGTCAAAAATCTCTATGAAGATTTTGTTTCTTGAAAGTAGCCGCTAGGGGCGCTGCACAATATGTCATACAATTAATGTCATTTTTTTACGTAGTCGCTAGCGAGCACACCTAACGTAAACTCATGGTAAGCACACTGATATTTTATTTTCATGTGCTTTTTTGATACCGATGAAGTTTCATTACTAATTTTTCGGAACACATTGATAGAACCATTTTGCATTCCTAACTCGAAGGAACTTTCCCAACATTTTTATACAAAAACAATGTATAAAAAATGTAGATAGGTTACGTATGTATACAGGAAAAGATATTGCACAGGATAAAGCTCTCAGATGTTAAATAAATAGCAGCCATAAAATTTCTACACTTTACGCGTATACAGCTAACGCGAGATTGTGTTTTTGTTTTGCCACTTTCTTTTTATTTTTGTAATATTTTGTGAGAAATTTCTTTAATTTACCTAACAAAAGTATAACCTTGAGTGCTCAAAAAAAATACTGACGGATTTTGTCTTTTAGTATGTCTTCACATTTATTTATTTATGCTTCACAAAAAAAGGTACAGTCATATTTAAGAACAAATTACAAACCCTATAATCTAAATCGGAACTTTTAACAATGATGACTGGAAAAGTTTACCCCACAGGTAGGTAAGTAGGTAAACTTTTTCAAAACAGACAGAGAAACTAAGTATGATCTTCCAATTTATTATAACGAATATGTAAAGTTTCAGTCGCAATTTCTTATGTAACTTCCACGTAAAAGTTAATAATTCTCACGTATCACTTACACGTAAGCTCGCGCAGAATCCTGGTATTTTTCACCCGGTGCTATCTAGTTGAAACTGGAATTTTCCGGTTGAATCCAGTAATTCCCGCTCAAGGGCAGCCATTATGAGAATAGCTCGCTAAGGAGGATGGAAAATCGCTAAAGCCGTTCGTGAAACGCGGAGAAAATGGATTTTATGAATTTTTAATACAAAATTTGAGTTTTTAATATTATCGATACTGTAAGGAAAAAATGAACAGTGCAGATTCATTTTTTCTTAGTTGCTTTTTTCTAACATGACTCATAAAAGTAGTATGAGAAATATCTTCTTTTATACTTTATTATCCACAACGAGGAAGCACTTGGCCTGCATCTCACCTGATGGAAAGACTCAATAGTCAAATAACTAGATACATATGTTATAGTCAAACCTCGAAGTTCCGGCACTCCTAGGTTTGACTAGTCAATCCTCAGGTCTGACTAGAAGTCTTAGTCAAAGCCCAAACATTTCGGCCTTTGACTAAATAATGTTAGTCAAACCTAGGAGTAACTAATTTGGTAAGGCAAAGGTCGAAACTCAATTTAATGAAATCGGGGTTTGACTAGTCAAACCTGAAATTAAGACTTTAAACTAAACTATACTTAATTCTGATCTCGAACTTATTGCATAGGCGTTACGACGGTCGGTTTTCACGCGCACGCGCAGCTATCTCTTTAGGTGAAGGTACGAGTAACTAAACTTATACAGTACTGAGGTTGGTTGTCAGTGTTTCTAGATCGATCTTGATTAATTACCAATTTTTAGGGTTCTGTTACGGGCTGGAAGACGTAGCGTGGGCAGGCCTCCTACTAGGTGGACCGACGATCTCGTAAAGGTCGCGGGAAGAGCCTGGATGCGGGCAGCGCAGGACCGTGCATTGTGGAAAACCTTGGAGGAGGCCTTTGTCCAGCAGTGGACGTCATTTGGCTGAAACGAACGAACGAACAAAGGGTTCTGTTACCTTAAAGGATAAAGAGTTTACACCCTATTTTTATGACTTCGCTAATGTTGTCTGTCACCCGGCTCGTATCTTATGAATCATTCACTTAAAAAATAAATAATTCAATAAAATACTTAAATATTTAAGGGGGGCTCCCATACAGCAAACGTGACTTGTTGCAGTTTTTTACTTGATATTAATTAAAACGTAAACAGGTGAACCCTTGAAATATTCACATAATTTTAGTTGCATTTTAAAAATAAATCATAAAATTAAAATAAAATAAATATTTAAGGGGGCTCCCATACAGCAAAAGAGTCACACGGAACCCTTCGTGAGCGAATCCGACTCACACATGGTTGGTTTTCTATTTGCCGTCTACTTCTGACCGAGTCTGTCAGTCGTTTCTAGGATTGACTAGGCAAAGCCCGAAACAGATTATTTTAGTTTCGACGTTTGACTGAACCGTTTAGGCACTTCTAGGTTTGACTTAGTCAAAGGCCGAAATAAGAATTTACTTCGGGGTTTGCCTGAAGGCCTTGGTCAAACCTAGGATAGACCAGTCATTCCGCGAAGAGACTGCATATCGACCTTTGACTATGACACATATACTTAATATCATCCATAAATAGAAGTCTGTTACTAAGACTATGGCTTATTATTTACAATTTTCACTTTAAAACTTCACAGTAAATTCAGTTATCCAATGTTACATTCGTACCAATTTCGGGCAGTTGAAATTGCACAACAAAACAAAACAAAACGATTCAGTCAACCCTTCAACGGTTGAATCGAAAGAACTAAGGCACCTATTATGTACATAGCATCTATCGCGATCGATATTGAATAGATAGCAATTAGTATGTGATAGTGATTTCCTTGAATGATTTTGTTAGTTCCCGCATGTGACCTGGTGACCTTTAAGTCTTTTTACTTGAAAGGTTTGTCAAAGAAAGCAAAATTGTTTGAGTACCTTTTTTCTCTTTCAACCAAAGGTTTTTTTTTTGGTAGTTCAAATGATTATCTTACACCATAAATAGATACTATAAATAAGGGCAAAATAGGTACCTCTCAAATGCTAAAACGATTGCAGTAGATATAGTTTTTCATAATAGGGTCCCAGTTCCAATTCCCGTTGACAGGGAAAAGGGGGGTTAAAAAATAACGACGTAAACTTCACAAATGAATTGTTGGCAGAAGCGACAGGAAAGGCAAAACTTTAAACGAGCGTCCTGCAATGTAATGCTTTTTTACAAACTGACTGGTACTTCGCTCGCTTGCATATTGATCTCATCTAACTTCATATCAAGTAAATTGTAAGATTGCATTTTCTTCCTTCTCTGCTGGCATGTAATTGCTTCTATGTCAGTATTTTTCAACTCGTCTTAGAAAAGACCTGCTGCCCAAGACCGCAAAACATAATGGATTAATCATTGAGCTTTGTGAAGCCTTCATATTACCTTTTTTAACGGCGTAGTAAGGACAATCTGTTCAGGAGGGGATTCTTGGATGGCTCAATGAAGATCTCTCGATGGCTTGGAGTGCAAGTGTGGTTTTGTTCCCCAGTCGACGAAGCACATGATGTCGTGCCCTGCGTGCCCATTGCAAACAACTACACGCAGGAAGATTTATGAAGGCTACTGACAACGCCACTCTTGTGGCGGAGTTTTGGGCTGACGCTGTGTAGGTTTGTTGTCGACACGACAAGAAGATACAAACTTTTGTTAAATCACAATTTTAAAGGAAACGTAACTTTAAACTTGAAAAGTATTTCCACAACGAAATAACTTCGAGTAGTAAAAACAAATTTAAATGATTACATAAACGGCAACGCACCTGTAACGCCCCTGGGTCTGCGGGTGTCTATGGGCGACGGTAATCACTTACCATCAGGTGATCCGTTTGCTCGTTTGCAGGAGGCAAAATCACATAAAAAAAAAAAAAAAAAAAACACGCTAGCCCACATTTTATACGCAGTAAACTGTTGAAAACGCGAAATAATTCAGTGACACGGTATATTGCGTATGATTCGGAAGTATACAGGAAATGTACGTAACGTCAAACTCGATTCAAGCCTGCGCACGCACTATAGATAATATTAATTACATTTTTAATTTACTTAAAACTTAGTTATTGAATAAACATTATTTCACTATACAAATATTTAGGTTGGGAAAGCTATATTTGGGACGTGAATAAGCGAACGTCGCACAGCGTTGAATAGAGCTTGTGATCGTATGTCACCCTGTGCGTCCACGTCCACACGCACTGTGAGACCTCATAGTAATGTCTGTGAATACGGGCGTTAGATTCAAGCAGAAATAAGAGTTTTTGGTTTTATTAATTTAAATTTTAACGTCATTAATAGGTACATACGGCGAACTTAAGGCCATTGGGCATTTTCTGCCAGTTAATATTTGGCCTAAGCTTTTGATTAAGCTTTATAAGTCATGGATATCAGAAGATTAAAGTAGGTATAATAAAAACTCTATAACGAATACTTGTAAAAATCTACAAGAAGGTACCTATTTACAGGTATTATTATACCTCTATAAATATCTAATGACGTTGAAAGATAATTAACAAACATTTGCTTTACATTACAAAACAAAATTAATATCCCGTATCGTTATTGTTGCCGTTATTTACGATCGATACCGATGCCAAATAACGTTGCTCGTTAATTTGCGACGGTTTTAATAATTCATCCACAGTTCACTATGGTTCACTATAGCAATTATGCTAAGCTAACAATGGCTTACAGGCTGCCTCCCTTACGACCCCCGTTCATGATACATTATTTTAAATAACATTTTGCTAGCTCCTTTGTGACAAATCTAAAATCAAGGCTAAAAAAACCCAACCAATGAAGGTCAAGTTTGTCCCGGGGGAAAGATAAACTGTCATTGGACCCGCAACGAAATTAATCAGAAGAACATAGGAGGAGTTTGAAATTAAGGTTCGACTTCCCTCCATTGCAAAGCGGATGACAGGTGACAAACAAAGGTTTAAAACCTTTAAGATAAGATTATGCACCACGGACAATAAATATCAATTAAGGGAGCCTATCTTATGAGCAATTAGCAACTACCTGCCAATAATATTTTTCACAAAATCGCTAGACACGCGGTAGCGCGACAAGCCAAGTTCAAGTAACAGAACTGGCGAGCAGCACTGTGTGTAATATTAAACGAACCATTTGGAGCCACTTTTGACCCCCTCATAAGTCTCCCCTCCCGTCAAGATGAGTTAGAGGAGTTCTTCATCTTGACGGAAATACCTCGAATTACCAGTAACCCTGTATAGTCTCATAGATTTACTCGTATGTTGGGGACTATACATTATACATACAAAGTGAATACTCGTAGATCTAGCTGATAATCACATGCTCTAGTCTATCCAGTAAGCCTCAAAGGAGACGGCCATTAATTCGGAATATTGTTTAGTAACCCATCAAGCACAGGAAATTGAAGTGTCAGATGCAATTCAGTATTGGAGGTCGGTTATTAAACTGCCTATTGGCGTCTAACATACACTTGATATCTAAGTTTATAGTTTATGAAATTGGATTTCCTAGCCTATTCAGTTTGAAATATATTTTGAATATAAAATATTTATGAAGATTTCTTGGATTATGATGACGTTTAATGTTCCTTAAAACGAAACTAACAGTTTTGTATCAGTTTAATGCCGTCCTGCTGGACAAAGGCCTCCCCCACAGATTTTCCACAATGAAGGGTACTGCGCTGTCAAGCGTTTTGCTCTCATTAAAAAAATGTACTTCCCGTGACCTTCACCTGATCAATGGTCCAGTAACTAAGAGTTAAGAACGAAAAATAATAAACAGTATTCAAGTGTATATTCTCGCATTATTAATTTGTTCTCATCCATAAAAAACGCAAGACAATGAATGATGATAGTGGATGAACGAGTGAGTGCTTTAGATAAGTCAAGTTACTAGAAGATGGATGCTACAGATGTAGCATGGCCCCTGATAGTGTAAGGGACTCTATACACTACGCTGCTCTAGTATCGTACAGCCCACAGTAAATCTTTCCGTCGCAAAATAGACTCTATCACAACTACATAAGATTGTAGAGCGTTTAGCTTGAGGTGATGTCGTCTGTACTAGGAACGTGTCATATTTGTTACAGATCGCTGAGTTGCACCACCTAACTTTGACCGTAACTATAACGATAACCGGTGGTTTTTGTATGGATGGAGTTTGACAGAATTTTGACGTTTGTCAAAGTGTAAGTGAGATGGTGCAACCCACCCTAAGTCAGTAAGCGGGAAGAAAAGTAGTGAACTTTGTTTGATTGAAAAGATACGAATATTATTGTGCCCATGTCGTTATGGGAGTTGATATGAAACTGGGCAGTTGAAAGATTCTTTTCAGGTGTAGATATTATATTTTCAACGCTTAATTGAATGTAGTAACTAAGCCACGTGCAGAAGTTAGTTCAAAAACTTCAGACAAGCCAGAAATAATTAATATTGATGGACCTCTATCATATTAAATTATGTATACTGTGAGCGACGGGCCTAACCCTTGCGAGCTAAAATAAGGACAATGCTGCCGGCTGTTTTAATTTAAAATCACTATTATCCGCCACAATAAGGGCACAGATTACAAAAAATTTAACAAAAAGGAGTTTGAAGATCAAAATATTCAGCTTTTCAGCTTACAAAAGTTTTAGGACATTTACATTTCACGTAAAACAATGTTCAAAGGGATTTTCAGAACTTAGACAATAAAGGATTCGTTCGTTTGTTCGTTTCAGCCGAAAGACGTCCACTGCTGGACAAAGGCCTCCCCAAGAATTTCCACGAAGACAAAATGCGCCGGCCGCTCAAATCCAGGCACCTCCCGCGACCTTCACCAGATCGTCGATCCACCTAGTGGGAGGCCTGCTAATAAAGGATTGTAGAAAGTATTTTATTATTTTTTTTAACCTTAAACTGCTTTTGAATGTAATGGGTTGTGTTTATTTTACACTCGTAGTACAAACGAGATGTCCGGCGATCGACAAAAATTAAAACTGAATTACCGCAATTAACTAGGACTGCGGTCACAGTTAATTGCGGTCCCAGTAGCCGGAAACCTCGTACAAACGACAATGTTATATGTCTTGCACTTAACTTAGTCAGTGCCTGAGGTATGGAAGCGGCACGGGAGGGTGTTATGTCAACGTCACCGAGTCCTATATGCTCTGTCACGTCATATTATGTCAATGTCACCTCTCCCGTGAGGTGCCGCTCCCATAAATTTTATCAGACATTGAGTTAAGTGCTATCTTCGTTTCAGCCAAATGACGTCCACTGCTGGACAAAGGCCTCCTCCATGGTTTTCCACAATGCACGGTCCTGCGCTGCCCGCATCCAGGCTCTTCCCGCGACCTTTACGAGATCGTCGGTCCACCTAGTAGGAGGCCTGCCCACGCTACGTCTTACAGCCCGTGGTCGCCACTCGAGAACTTTTCTGCCCCAACGGCCATCGTCTCTACTAGCTATGTGCCCCGCCCACTGCCACTTGGTTTTAGCAATTCTGCGAGCTATGTTGGTCACTTACGTTAAGTTTCATACCTACCTATAATAATAATTGTGGTTGTAATGATTTTTTGCAATAAAATGAATAACCTAATGTGCCGTCGACTTTACGTTTATAGTAGTCTTATAAAAATAGCTAAAAAATAGATGCAAAACAAGTATTTCGATTAAAATTATTTATTTCTACTTTTATGTTTCACGTTATAGACATAAATGCCGTCATTAACATTTATTAAGAATTTCAAATAAAAAAACACGTGAGGTCTATAAAATTATTATAAGATACCTAAATCCTACCAATATTATAAATGCGAAAGTTTGGATGTCTGGATGTTTGTTACTCTTTCAAGCAAAAACTAATGAACGGATTTTGATGAAATTTTACAGTATTATTGTTTATAACCCAAAATAACATAATTATAGGCTATAAATTACGACGATCTTTGTCTGATAAATTCAGTTTGTCACACAAACTGAATTTCACGCGGGTGAAGCCACGGGCAACAGCTAGTAGTTTCATCTATGATAGATAATAAGGAGTTATTATGATAATAATTTTAAATCTAAAATAACTGGACTAATGCTAGTAATAAATTGCATGTAGAACAATTTATAAAACGGCAAAAAAAACGAATAGCATCTCAGTTTATGTACCTACAACTTATATTTTTTCATCAGTAAAAAGTCTAACTTACTTAATCGAATTAACTTCATCAAACATTTTTAACCGTTTTAATATTTCACCTAAACCTTT